TTAATCATCAAGTGTAGTGGCAAATGGACACCAGCCACTGTTTCTTTTTTTCTCAGAGGACAACTCTGAACAGAACTATAGCAGCAGTGCTCTGTTAAAAGATCAGAGGAGCAGCGTTTTCTTCAGAAATGCTAACTCTAAAATATCATCTGGCATTGCAACTGCCACAAGGATTAGTCAAGCAAACTTCAGTTTCAGCCCAAAATGATTCTTGGTTCACCATCTCCGTATCAGTGACTTCTGATAGTTTCTCCTGAAAGAGAAGGGCTTTCTGCAGTCAAAGATCTTGAGTTTTGGCTTTGAAGAACAAACAGCAAAACTAAAAGTGAAAATGGACCCCTATGCATAAAAACTAATACGCACGAACACGTCTATGAGTGCATCCAGACCACGGCTCCTGAAATGCCAGTTTTGTGGAGGTCAAATTGAAGGACAGCGTCTACAGCAAGTGCACGAAAAACTCAAGTTGCAGTTTGCAGACAAGAGAGAAAATAAACCAAGAATACTGTGCAGGGCCCAGAAAAATCAACACATAAGTAACGAGGTCTTGGATAAAACACAAGAGTGACAAAATTCAAAGGACTGCAGCATTAGAAACAAAACTGAAATAATGAATGGGGCATGCCAAAGAGTCAGTAGCTAAACTCCTTGCAAATAGATGCAACTGTAGAATAGAGGGGCAAAGAAAAGGAGGGTAATTAGTATACAGGCCATGGACAGCCACGGACAACCACAGGTACATCACTGGAATGCATGAAATCTCCTTGCCCCTTCACTTGTGCTGTCCAGACAGCACAGCGACACTGCCTGCCGACACACACAAAAATAAACTTTACTGTTTCGCTATCTGCTTATTCATTTGCTTCAAGGTTCAAAGGCAGCAAGTCTTAAATTGTGCACAAAGCAGAGTTAACATAACTCCATGCACCCCTGTAAAATGAAAGTTTCTTTTACCAAGGAATTCAAACAAGGATTCGATTGTCTTGTCCAAGAAAACCAAGCACCCCCACCTGGAAATCGCACTTCGACAATATGTAACTTAGTAATCCTTTTTAAACAATGTTCAATTTGTATTCCTTCCACTGGGATAAGCTGCTTATATGAACCACACTGAAGTCACAGGCACTTGTTCAAGCTAAGCTGAGAAACGTCCCCACACTCCAATTTCCTGGAACAACTCTCCAAGCGACATTACGCCCTGTGTGTTGTAATGAGCACCATAAAGAAAGATTACAGCCTTTACTTGAACTACAGGACACAGAGCAAGTCACCAAATTACACAGAGTGCTACTGAATAGAAAAACAGCATTTGACCACTTCAGCTCCGATCTGATCCGTGGCACTCTCTCCTCAAGCAGGCAGGATGCAGGAACCAGTCAGCACCCGATGGTGCAAATGTAGAGACATTTTCAGAAGTCAGTGCCTGTTGAATGAACACCTGACCGAACACACTGGATGCCCCAAA